CTTTCTTCGGGTCAATTAAAAAATAGTTTATTTTATTTCTTTATGTTTTGTGAATATTTTTATTCAACTGTTTTTATAAAAACTTAATAACCATCTATATATATAATGTTCAGTATCTGTGTGTCTATGTGTTTCTCTGCCGGGTCAAAGGGTAAACGTCAAAAATTAAAGGTTAAAGGTTAAAGTTTCTAGCATTTTCAAGAACGTTCTAAAATTATGTGAACGTTGGTAGAAGCTTCTAGAATGTTCTGAAACTTTCTAGAAGTTTTGCCAAGAACTCTATACACAGCTTGAAAGCTAAAGGTCAATGGTCAGAGGTTAAAAGTCAAATAAGGCTATAAGGAGAAGACCCATAGGTCCTCAAGGGCCATCCTACGGAGGTACCCATAGGCTCTCAAGGGCTATCGAATTGGAATACTCATAGATCCTCAAAAGCTATTATATGGGGGGATAATGCTACAAGAACTACCAGGGATAGAAGGCTATAAGGCCGAAGGCTAATGGGCTATAAAAATATGTATACTGTAAGAGTATGAGATCGTAGGGCTACCTATCCGTATACATAATATCGAGTGTTTGTATGTCCGTTAGCGGATGAAAAGTTAAACGTCCGACGTCATACGTTAGAGGAAAAAAAGAGCCGTGCAGTATGCAGGGGATCTCACTTGAATCTGTATATATAATGTTGAGTTTGTGTCTGTCTGCGCCGGATAAAAGATTAAAGGTTAAAGCTCAAACAAAATTATAACGGGTAAGACTATAAGAGAAGAAGACTATAAGAGAAGAAGACTATAAGAGAAGAAGACTATAAGAGAAGAAGACTACAGAGGATGAGGCCATTAGGCGGGAGCGCTATAAGGGGGTAACCCTTTAAAGGGAAAAGGCTATAAACGAGTAAGGCGATAGAGAGGTAAGGCTATAACGGGTTCAGACTACAATGGTAAGACTATTAGTGGTTAGACCACAAGAGCTACATGAGCTATTAACGATATAAGGATATCACTTCGTAGGGCTCCTATGTACATAATATTGAGCGTCTGCGTTTCTGTTACCGAGTGAAATGTTAAAGGTTTGAGATCATACGTTAAAGGAAAGAAAGCTGCCGTGCAGTATGCACGGATTCTCGCTAGTTACTAATTATTGAAAAGTTCTTTATTAGACGAATACCTAGATGGAAAACAAATATGGCATTACTATTCTTGACACAGAGTTGACTCCTTCTTAGCAAATCTTGTTAATATTCTACAACTCTCTTATAAAAACAAAATGGTTATTTTTGAAAATTTACAAAATAATTAAAAAAAGTTATAATACATCTATTAGCAGAATAAGGTCTAAAACCGAAAAAGTTTGGTCTTCTCTTTTTTTTCAGATCTAAACGAGAGCAGCTTTGACATTTATATTCGAGATATTCATTGAGATCCTTATAGGATAGAATGCTTTTAAACTCGCTCTGCGTGGGTACACTCAAATATGTTCCCTCGTTTGCCTGATTGCTTTTTTCTTCGACAGGAAATTTTTGTTCATAAATTGAAAATATGTCTAGAAAATATATTTAGTTGAGTTAGTTTTCAAGGATAACATTTATATATACAAGTAACGCTCGTCCGTGTGACTCGCTTGACCCTCGACTGCATATTCGGCCCTTTCCATTTTTTCTTCCGATTTACAGTCTTCAACACAGCTAGTATCCAATGTTCCAAAAGGGTGAGTAGGTCTGTCTACGCTGATATTAACGTCAATCTCATTGTGCATAATTGTATGCGGGTCCGGATGATCATTTTTGTCACAAATGCATCCAATCAAATTGACACCCTCACATTCACACTCAACAAAAATCTACGGAACCACACTATGACGGCGATATCCATATGTATCCAAAAAAGGAGCTTATATTCAGCTTTCTGGAGGTAATGAAGCAAAGCTCATTCGCGAAACTTTCGTGAAAACGCGCCATACTCCTTAAAATTTCTACTAAAAGACCGTTCGCTTGCTGACACATCTACCGACAATATTGTTTACTAGAGTGTCCGCTAGCAAAATAAGGATTTAATTGAACTTCTAGCTTACAATTAATCATATTAGGTCTGGTCTATAATCGGCCTGCTACACTTGAAAGAAGCTCCTACTCATATTAGCCATCAGACTAGATAGGTAATTTCAATATATCCATATGCATTTCGACATTTGAATCAGTATCGACAAGAAAGCATCCCACCAAGGAAACCCCCGTTTATTTCATTCAAATAGCATTCCGATAGAACGAATATAAATTCTATAAATAATGTTTTCCCTCAAATGTACTATTCAAATATTCCACACGTGCAGAAAAGCCGTTCTCACACTTTATTTCAAAATATTTCTCAGTTCTTAGCAACTGCTAGTCCTTATTCAAACCCGTATGACCTAGACTCTTGATGTCTATTTGATGAATACCAGCAGCTTGTAGCATTTCTTTAAGGAACTTTCTAGTGCAGCGGCTAGTCGTTCATCGGGGCGCCACTCATGACTAGCCACTGCTATGTTTCGTTTTATTTCTTCATAGCACCATTCTTTTTTATTTACACTTCATCTAATCCCAAACTCGCCTTAATTCGAAAAACCATTAGATCTTTAGCATGAGAATTCTCGACGAGGATTTCTAAACCAAAGCTTCGTTGTGAAGTATTTCTGATTTCTTCAATTTCATTCTGCAGCTGAAAAATCTGAGTCTTATCGAAATGCCTCGTTAAAAAAATATTAGTACAGTTTTCTCAAAAAGTCTGTTTCTGCATTAAAAAAATTTTTCCAAAAAAAAAATGTTTTTTTGACTTGCCACAAACAGACAGACAGACAAACGCCTTTTAGTTTTTTTCATATGACCCTCCCTACAGTCGAGGGAATAAAACTTGACTGATATTCACATGCAAGCCAGGTAAAAGAAATAGCATGACAAGTACAGGTAAACCATACTTGCAAAAAATCCATCTATTGAGATTTTGTTTCTCATCTATGCCAACACTAAAATGGACATGCTGTGAAATATAGAGGAGGCTCTCTCTCTCTCTCTCCTTTTTCTTGACTGAATTTGAACCGAAGACCTAGCTTGATTTGAAACTTTTGAAGAAGGAAACACCTTATACACAAGCATCTTTTATTGGAACTAGAAAGTTTATAATAAGGAAATCCAAGTTATATTCTACTAAAAAATGGACCTAATTACTAAACTTTTCCACCGTAGAATCGAAAGTCGTGTATTTTTTAAAACTGTTTTTGAAAAATTTAGCAAAATTTGGAGTAAAACAAACAAGTTTCTGTTATTAAAAGGCTTTATTCTAGTAAAAAAGCTTATTTCCGGGGATTTCGGTGCTTAAAAATCCTGTTTGAATACCAGAAACATTTTTCAAAAACTTTCCATTTTTCAGGTGAATGGCAGCAAAAAACTAGTTCTTTATAGAAGATCATAGATTTTTTATTCTGGGGAAGGTCACATGAAATGTATATTCTGAAAACTATTAGATCTTTCACTCTATATCCTAGTAACTATCTAGAGATGAACAAGGATCAATCAAAACTGAGTATTTATAGGCAAGGATGAACGAGGGATAAAAAAAAATGAGATTATCATCTAGACATTCGTTATAGATGGTCTCCTACTTTATTTTATATAAGTCATACTTATCTGTCGAATAATTACTATATTTCACCATGAAACAGAATCGAATTTTCCTAGCAGACCTCGTCATAGCATAAGAGTGAGATAAAATATAAAAAAACTCTTTCTTATCTCATTAATGTTTATATAATTTAGCTTTCTATTACGACCAGCGATCATATAATTTTCGTCTTTACGCAACTGTACCTCAATTTGTTAATATGACAGATGGATTCATTGATGCATTTTTAGTATGGATCCGTTCTGCACCACTTATGAGTTCTGTTAACTCTTTTGAATTTGATCATTATGCTCCGCTAATAGTGCCTGTTAATAATGAAAACTTATTCTTTGCTCAATCATCTTATCTTACTGATGTATCCATCACATTAAAAGAATTACCTGATTGTGTTCGTTTATTGAATCAACTGGGCTCCCAATTATATTCATTTACTGTGAGCATTGTAGACGTTTGTGTAGGCAATATCGATATTACATCTGAAATCGAATCAGTAAGTTCTATGTTTTAATTTGGCATTTCGCTTCATTTATTTCATTTAGATTTATTGTTGCAACTTAAAAAAATTAAAAATGACAATATATCGTAATATGTTAGCCTATGAAAAATATCTTATTCCTCTTTTACAACATTTATCAAGTGTCAAATATTTAACATTGCTATTAGCCATTTATATAACTGAATCAAATCGTTTTGTTGATGGATTTCATTTAGAAAGAAATATTGTTTCATACATGCCTCATTTATGTCAATTTGATTTTCATATTCGTTCAGTATTAAAAAAATCCCCTTATATCGAACTTGATACCATTCGTCAAAGTTTTGTCAAACGAAAATCTGTGGATTGCACAATTGAATATTTCAATAATCGATATGGTCAATGTCACATCTATTCACTTCCCTTCATTGGCAATCGTCTTGATTTTATTTCGAATCGATTTCCACTTTTTGATAATAAAAACACATTTATCAATGTTACTATGTTATTACTTTTTGATGATGTTAAACCTTTTGAAAATGTTTTCTTTGAACATATTACACTTGCTTTACCTCATCTTCGAACACTCGAAATATTTAATGAATTAGAACAAGAAGAGAAAGCGAAAATTAGAAAAAACAATTATATTGAATTTTCTCACTTGTCTACACTTATTTTTCATTATATTCATATGGATTATGGAGAACAACTTTTTTGTCGAGCTCATCTTCCACATCTAGTGGAACTTGTCATTCGTAACGACGTATTATTAACAATAATCGATCAAGATAATCAACAAGCTAGAAATAATTGTTTAAATGTTGAAACACTTTTTATTGTCGAACCATGGATTGAACCAACAAGTGTTCATTTTAAATTTTTTCCCAAACTATATATGAAAAACTTGTAAGAAATCAATCTATTTATATTTGTAAACAAAATTTTCCTTCGCAAAATTAATATATAAACTATTTTTGATAGTAGAATACTTATTATATTTATATTGAAATAAATTCTTCAACCAAAAAAAAAACAATCAGAACCTTTAAATGATTTATTTACGGACATATTCATTACAAAAATTCTGTAAAAGAATAGTATAAAAGCATACTACCATGTTTATAATCTAGGTAAGTGAGAATATATAAAATAGTTTTAAAAGAAGAAGTGTTTGAATAAATGAACAATTTGAATATTGCACATTTTTCTGTAAGATGACAGAATACATTGTAAAATTAATGGTTTATAGAGCTTCCAAACATTTTTAAAGAAAAGGGGAATGTATGTTTTACGTCAAAGTTTTTCAACTTGAGGGTGTGTGGGTGTGTGTTTGCTTGTTATCCATATCGACACCCGCAACTTCGATCGTTTATCTATTTGAGCTCATCTTTTTTTCGGCAATACAGTATTATATCTACTGACAATAAAAATTTGAAGTTAATTCATGTATCCTTGATGGGTGGGTGTGGATGTGGATGTGGATCTGTGCTCGCGTACTGGGGATCATGAAATCAGCAATCATACCCTACATGCACGACCCACATTCACACCGACATCCACACCCACGCCCCATTCACACGCCTACACCTACATCCATGCACCCCTACACTCATAGCGCATTACATGTTCGAATGAAAAAGCTGTCGAAAGGTGAAGCGCATCTCGGAGGCATAGCACACATGATCAGTATATGCTGATTCAGAAAACGAGTTAGTGTAGTTGAATGATGGATCATATATGATATTGAAGGCTCGACTCAAGTCTATCAAGCCCGTATCGAATTACCGTTTAATTGTATTCTACTCTTATAAACATTCATTACACAACAGTTAAGGTAGCTAGTGGCAAAAATGTTAGTTTGTACATGACTTATAGCTTATTAAACTCTATCGAGACCTGGTGAATTTAGCATCAAAATGTCGGTCCAAACGAATACTCTCATATTAAATGTGATTCAACCTAATCGGGAACAAAAAGTTCAGTGGGCCGATTTGATACCTTAAGCGCTTCCGCCTTTAAAAGATGATTGTTAGAGATCGGTAGAAACTTTACTTTCTTCACTGTTTTTCTAGCTTCGACATTTTTCTCTTCGGCATTTTGCGTTTTGACATCTTGAGAAACACAATTCGAAATGAGTATGGTATAGCATGCGTGAAAAAAGGAGACTGTCTGTATTCATCTGTAGTCTTTTAAAAATTAATAATTAAAAAGTCTGAAAGACGTTGATACTTTGACTGCCAAAGCCAAAAGCGAAAATATTACATATTGACTCAGAACTCAAAGTGATTTCTATTTTTTTATTTTACAGTGGACTGAAAGTGCCACTCCTTATTGTTTTGAAAGAATGGCGAATGCTGTAAAAATATGACAAGCCTAGAAAAGCATAGCTAAGAATCAGAATTACAAATGTAAACAAATACAAGGTAGGATGACAATATGTATTCAAGTCAACGGGTTCGACATATTGAACATTTGATTTTACACTAAACGTCCAGACACTTCCGAGAATAAACCATATCAATATAAAAAACTGAAATGGAAATAAGCAGTACGAGCATGATCTTATACTTTCTCGATTTTCTCTTGGTTGTGCGATGTGGCAAACGAACAAAATACTATAGACATTACCCACGGCACCAGCAACAATCAAATACACAGGAATCATAGAGTTTATTGGGCATCGATTTTTATAGTGTGATCCGAGCCATAGCATCGTAATAGGAATTGCTAGGATAACATATAGCAATATATTTAGAAGACAAATAATAGGAAGATCCGAACAGCATTCCTTAAAACACTTCGGCAGCTTCATTTTGAAGGGCTCTTTTTTCTTCAATCTGGTTTGCATTGGTCCGATAAATGAAACTTTCGGCAATGCTCTCACTTGTTTCACAATAGATTGAGTTTGGAAGGCATTGAGATTCGTATTTGCAGTCTCAGTATATGTCGATAATGAGCTCACGGATGATTGTTCATCCTTTAATATCTTGACACTCAGTAATGCCGCTATATAAGTGAAGGTATTCTGAATCAATTAGAATTGAAGTAAAATATCTTTGTTGTGAGACTTCCGGTAGATATGATCGTCTTTGAGTATTTTATTACTTTCTTATCAGTCCGACCATCAAGCAAGAATAAAAATCTGCCATAAATATGCAGCAGGTTGCCTAACATCACACAAAACAGTAAAAGTCGAAAAATATCCATAAAGTAGAAGGTGAATTGATAGGATAGCCAAGATTTTTTATGTATGCTAAAACTACAGATTGAAGAAGTCGTACAGGTATGTTAATACAGGTGAAAAAAAGCCACTTATTGTCCATGTCAAAAAGTAGTGTGAACAAGGATTTGAACGAAGCTAGGCGCGATTAAATACATGAAGAGGATGTAAGGGTGTGGAGTTGGGTGAGCGTTCTATCTTCACCATCATCCTCACCCTCATGCATCCTCTAGACAAAAATTTATTTTGCCGTGAATTTCTGTTGGATACACTCCAGTATCCGACATTGGTTGAGGATGGGTGAGGACTTCATATCTAATTTGATCGTGTTTTAATCGAATTTACTTACTTCTTCATTATTAGATCAAAAATACATCGCACTGAAAATCTGTTGTATGAGGTTGGGTAAGAATGAGGATGAGGGTGAGGATGAGGGATTTATTTCACCCTCACTCACCCTCAACCTCATCACTTGGGTCATGTGACCTTTGAGTTGAAACAGACGTACAGATACTTAGGGCATACCAAAAGTAGCCAGAATGACACTTTAATATCGTATAGTAGACTTAAAGAAACTTTCTTTCTATGTAGTCTGATAAAGAAAAAATAGCGCTATCTTCCTATGCTATCTGATCATATTTCAACTAATACCATAATAATAAAATTTCGATAAGATCTGTTTTGTTCGCATGTTTCACGGTTCTATGAATGTTAGTGAGTATTTTTTGAATAATTGTTGATAGAAATAAGTTAGAGAAGTGGGGTTTTCATTGTTGGAAAGAGGAGATGAAGATGCATCGAATCATATATTGTAGATTTTTCTAGTATTGATCTCTGAAGTATTTTTATTAAATTTTCTAACAGTTGGGAAAATGTTATTTTTATGAAAAAAAGGAAAAAGCACAAAAGTGAGCTTTTTTCACAGATTTTGCTACAAAATCATATTACAGGCTCAACATGTACTGATATTATAATGTCTTCAATACTTGTTTTTGTATACTGTTTATTTTCTTCTACAGAAAAAATATCTGTGTTGTGATATATTAAAAAAAAGAAAAATATCATTTAAAGCTTTCGCTGCTCGAAATTTCATAATATTTCAAGGGGGAAACGGCGGATTTTCGGGATTTTGAATCCCAATAAAAATCCAAAAATCCCATGATAATCCCAAAAATCCAATAAAATCCCAAAAATCCCATGATAATCCCAAAAATCTCATGTGAATTCCAGAATTAGGATTGAAATGATTAGGATTTTATGATTATTTGAAAGGACAACTATACACGAATAAGTGTAATCCCGTGACTATCCGACTTTTTCTTATAAAAATGGTGCTCATTCAATCTCTTCGTGTTTTAAAATTTATAGTTCCATAAAGATACTGTAGCGAATAGTAGCACTATTCCTTGTAGGAATGTAATCTAATGTGAGATATGTGCTTAGGGTATTATTTATAAATAAAATTGAACAATTGGTGAATGTCTTTATGTTTTCCATTATTTATTGAGGCTGTGGTACTCACATATAGACACTGGTAATATTATTTCATGGACAAAGTTGAAAATATTAATGTTCTATACCACCAAGAGTGCTTAAGTGTTCCAACTGGAAAATCAAGAAATCCCAAGAATTATATTTTGCCTTAGATATATCCTTAAAAAGACAATATTTCTCTGTCTCAATATTTTCAACATTAAAATTATTTTAGAGGTATGTTGATAATAATTCTCTTTATTCTTCATCTAATATTTATAAATGTCTTTTTAGAACCTTTCTTTTGACACTTCTATCTTACCGGCTGATACCCTAGCAAACAAACATTTTCAAAAACTCGTTTAAACCCATGAAAAAGTGTCTCGAAAGTATAAAAAGTACGCGTTTTTTGCCCTTTTTGTGCGTTTAAACACATTTTCAGCGAGGACACGATTGTAGAAACATATAAACTCATAAAAAGAAGACGAAACGCAGTTGTCTTCACGATCGTAAACTGTTCTCACAATCATGATGGCGATTTACGACTGGGAAGAAGATATCTGTGTTTCGTGTTCTTTTTATGCGTTTATACGCTTTACAATCATGTTCTCGTTAAAAACAAGTGTAAACGGGCAAACAAGGGCAAAAACGTCTACTTTTTACATTTTTAAGACACTTTTTCATACTTTTAAACGCGTTTTTGAAAATATTTATCTGCTTGGATATCCTTTCGTTTCGTGACGAAGGGTTTTACAAAGTGGTTGAAAAAATTGCTGGATTAGCAGAAGCTAAATTGCTAGAAGCTCAAGGAATTCGAAGTGTATATTTGTTTCTCAACATAGAAGATGTATCTGATATTCTTTCAATTTCACGCTCAGCCTTAAACGATATTATAAGATTTGTTTTGCTTTTAAGCTGATGATTATACTTACACAATGAAAACAGGTTGTCGTGGTAGTGTTCGATACCTCTACCAGCTTCTCTATCAAAAACATGAAGAATATCTTGAGACTCGCGCCCCCCCCCCCCCCACCCCC